TACGATGTAAGCCACTGCTCAGGGCTCGACAAGCATGAAACCTGTACCGCGCAGGCATGCCCAAACCCAGCGAACTAGCAGCTTCCCACCCGTCTTGAAGGTATAACGCATAACCCCAACCCTCAAACCTTACATAGTAGCCCCTCAACCTTGAATAGTACCTCATACAATCCTTTTAGTAACCCTGGTGGGAAAGTCAAAAACCGAAACCATGAGCTCTTTTCTGGCCTGCTGCAGTGTGACACAATCCGTCCCTTCGACATGTGTACAAGGCCGTCGTTGACTTGCGGCATCACAGGCCAGCTGCATCCTCTTTTGGGGTGAACTCCGACCCACTTCGGATGAAGAATTTCACATTGAATCCTGGGCTCTTTTTAAAGAACTTACTTCAATCACATGTACAAGTCAGCAGGTACCATTTCCATTTTCTAACCATGCACCACCACCTAGCACCCAAACCACAACAACCTATACCTCAATCTCCAACCCACCAAAAAAGCCCATAGGAAGCTCCATAGGATGCAACCCACTAGACGAAAATCAAAGGCAACCCCATAGAAGATAACACATTCAACCCCCTTCCTATTTCCTATGGGTCTTTTGGTGAGTTGAAGGTGGAGGGTTTAGGGTTTAGGGCTTAGGTGAGGCATAGGTTGTTATGGTGTTGTCAGGTGGCCTAGGGAGGTGTGCATGGTTGGAGAATGGAACTGGTATCTGCTAACTTACAAAGGTCGACGTCGTATACACTACACATCCCTAGACCACTAGCTTCACAGAAGTTCCTTAGACAACTTGCAAAACCCCTGCATAACCCTGGAACAACCGTACAAAACCCAAACCCGAACCCCGAACAAGCCCCAAAAAAGGCCCTAAGAACACCTAAGCCCAAAGCCGCATAAAGCCCGATGGAAACCCCTAAACCCGAAGCCCTAAACCGTAAGCCCTAAACCCTAAACCCAAAGCCCCAAACCCTAAACCCTAAACCCTAAACCCAAAGCCCTAAACCCTAAACCCTAAACCCAAAGTTTAAACCCAAAGCCCTAAACCCTAAACCCTAAACCTCAAGCCCTAAGCCCTAAACCCTAAACCCTAAACCCTAAGCTAAAGCGTCCCAGTCTCCGGCTTCCTTCAAGCTGAGCGCGGCATTCCGGCTTTTGAGCACTTTCTCGGCAGTAGGAGGCGCAAAGTGACCTTGTGGGGACTTTTTGGGTTCAGAGGGATTCAGAGGGTCAGGGTTTAGGTTTTTGGGGGTTTAGGGTTTAGGGTTTAGGGTTTAGGGTTTAGGGTTTAGGTTTTGCCGGGGGTTTAGGATTTAGGGTTCAGGGGTTTAGAAGTGTAGGGCTTAGGTTTTCTCAGAGAAGCCTGGGTATCGCATGAAGGGATTCTTGCATTGAGGATCCGAAGGACTTCAGAAAAAAAGTTCTGCATTCTGCGATCTTTGCGTTCTGGAGTTCGCGAACCCCTAAACCCTAAACCCTTCGGGTTCTATGTCATACACTAGAGGGACGTTGGGGGCACACTCCTCTGTGAATAGAATATAGGGTTTAGGGTTTAGGGTTTTGGTAATATGTAATATGGTATAATATGATATAAATTAATCTAGGATAGGCTTTAGTATAACAGAATATGTTCTAACAAGAGGCCCTAAGTTAAGGAACAAGATAGGTGTAAGTGTTCCTGACTTCGGGTAGTTCTCTAAATTAGGGTCCCATTTCAGATTCCCAAAATAGCACGGCACCCTTGTAAATAGGACCAAAAAAGGAACCTTAATCTGGAGAACTAATGTAGGGGCCTTAATAATTGGAATAGGGCTTTGGGGCCCAGTTATTTTTTTACTATAAACATAACAAGAAACCCCCAAAGTAGTATAGGTAATTATTGATAAACCCTAAACCCCAAACCCTAAACCCTAAACCCTAAACCCTAAACCCATTATTGAGGCTTCTATAGTATCCATAGTATGGAGCCCTTAGCAGGACCCCTTGTGGTTCCCTTGAAGGAACCCAGGGTTCCTTTCAGCAAAAAGCTAAACCCTAAACCCGAAGCCCGAAACCGGTTTAGGGTTTAGGGTTTAGGGCTTAGGGGTTACGGGAGAGGGTTAAGGGTTTAGGGGTTAGGGTTTAGGGTTTAGGGTTAGGGTTTAGGGCTTCTAAACCCTAAACCCTAAACCCTAAACCCTAAACCCTTAGTCCCTTAGAGCACCTTACTTCCCAAACCTCCGACCTCCTGAAGCGATGCGTTCTTCGATGCCTCTTCTTGCGGTCTCTGCCTTTGCCTCGTCCTGAGTGAAGGCTTAGAAACCCTAAACCCTAAACTTCGGCTTTGGGGTTTAGGGTTTAGGGTTTAGGGGCTTAGGGCTTAGGGTTTAGGGGTTTAGGGTTTAGGGTTTAGGGATGAAGCTTCGGGTTCATGTGGGGCAGGCTTCGAATGTGCAGTAACATGGAGACAGACCTTGAAGCTTTAAATTTCGAAAAGCTTCAGGTTGAGGGTTTGGGGTTTAAGTTTTAAGATTTAGGGCTTAAGTTTAAGGTTCATGGTTTCGGACTATCCTAAACTTTTCAGAGCATCTGAGCTCCCATGGATCTCGATGTGGAAAATCCTCACATCGAAGTGATTGTCCAGGAACTCTTCTGTTACGAACGCTGGCACGGTAAGGCTGTCGCCCAAGAAATCGACTGCAGACGCCAATACCTTCTCCTGGATCCCTGCGCGAAGAAAGCTTGCGTCGGTTACTAAGCCCGGCGGAAAGTCCGCCTTCTGGTTCACCAGTGCAGAATAGATTGCGTAGCCACCCACCAGTTCGGAACGCAGGTCATCTGCATTGACGTGGATTGCCGATCGGACAAAACCCGTGTGATTTGCCGGCAGCTCTTCTTCAAGCCTGTACTTTATAAAACTGGTCTTTCCGGCGCCAGTGGCTCCAAGTACAAACACCTGGGTTCTTGCAAATAGTACAGAAGCAGAACCACCTCATTCACGATCTATCCCTATTAATGTCAACAGACATCCCATGAAAACCCTTCAGAAACCAAAAACCATACACTGGACCCTACAAAACCTTATCAACCCACCTAAAATACCACATAAAACCCTTCCTTACCTGAGACCATATTCCCAACATAAACCGCATAAAAGCCTTAGAAACCTACAAAATTACCGTACGGTGCAGCCCAGAAACAGCCAATGGTTGCCTGCTACGTTGCATGTTGCTCAACCTCTGAATCTTCTGCTCTGCAGCATCCAAAATTTCTTGCTTCCTGCTCCTCGGCAGTGTGTGTTTTTTTTTTGGTTCTCGTTCGGTGTACAATCTGGTATTTATGGGGTTCTTACTTAGCTCTTAGCCTCAGGGGCTGGTTGCGTTGCCCGCGAGGCGCGCCCAACGGCATGCACGGCGGTTGCGCGGTGTAGTTTAGCCTTGCTCTCTTTTATATATACAGTACCGCTACTGTGATTTGGTATGATACAGTATAATACAAGATAAGATCACTTCATATAATACAATATTCGAAAATGTAGTACAAGTACAAGACAACATATTACGTAGCATATGACTATGCAATATTGCGTAGTATGATCTACTCTAATCAAATTTAACTACATATATATAATCTCGTGCAATATAGTACAGTATAGTATGGCAAAGTACAATGAGGTAAATTATGATATAACTGAACAGAACAGAACAGAATAGACTAGAAGAGACTAGAACAGAACAGAACAGAATCGAATACACAAGAATAGACAAGAAGATAATAGACAAGAAGAAAATAGAACAGAATAGAATTGAATAGAAAAGGCTAGGATAGAATACAATGTAGTATAGTATAGTAGAGTGTACTTTTATGTAGTATGGCATGGTATGGTATCACATAAAATGTCGAAAGAGCAGAGACAGCAAATAATGTACATAACATAAGAAACATCAATGCTTAAGAAGTACCCTAAACCCTAAACCCTACAACCTAAACCCTAAACCCTAAACCAAGTATCTGAGCGCAATGGGCGCAGTCTCGAGGGGAGCAGCCAGCTCTTTTAAGCAGCTGGCAGTAGGCATCTGAGCTATCAAGAGCCTGAATCAACTTCATCACTTCCTGGCCTGGGCTTGGGGTTTAGGGTTTAGGGTTTAGGGTTAGGGCTTAGGGTTTAGGGTTTAGGGCTTAGGGCTTAGGGCCTAGGGCTTGAGGGCTAAGGGCTTCGGGGTCTAGGGCGGTTGTGGGTTTAGGGTCCTGGCTTCCACGTTCATTGTAGCGTGTATATACTGGATTTGAAAAGACGGGTTTTACAGGGCATGCAAGGTTTCGGGGGTCAAGGCAGGGCGTGTATGTGTGTGTGGGTGTGTGCGTGTGTTTCTCTCTCTCTCTCTCTTTCTCTCTCTTTATCTCTCTCTCTCTCTCTCTCTCCCGCTCTCTCTCTAGTGCTGACGAATCTCCAACCAACTAGCTAGATTGTAGGTAGTCGTAAGGTCCGTCTAATCTATGTATATACCTTAAACTGGCCTCTTGTTGAGGAGCATAGCTGAATCTAAATATCACAAACGGGATAAATCGCAAACCACATGCTTTTCATACCTGCGGCAACGCACATAGGTTTAGTTCTGAAAGCCAGTCGCACCCTTATAAAAGCCCTCATGAAACCTTGCACCCCACCCTCAAAAAGAACACACACACACACAAAACCCGTACCAAAACCAACAACAAAAAACATCGCAACCTAACGCCTACACCTAAACCCTGAACCCTAAACTTCAAAATCTAAACCCCAAACCCTAAAGTTTAAAAACTAAACCCCAAACCCTAAACTTTAAAGTCTAAACCCCCACCTCTTAGCCCGGCCTTCAGGTCCCTGTAAGGGCGGGCCATTCCAAGCTTCCCAGACGCCCGCGAAGGAGAGGAAGGTCGATCCGAAGCGCTCCGAGTGACGTCGGGCAGCGGACGCATGCAGGAGTAGATATACCAAACCTGAAGAGTAAGGGTTTAGGGTTTAGGGTTTAGGGTTTAGGGTTTAGGGTTTAGGGTTTAGGGTTTAGGGTACTGATACGGATACTGATATACGAATACGAATACGAAAGGCGAATGCCATCGAAGACTGATACTGACACTAATTCGAATACTGGTGCTAATTCGAATACTGGTGCTATTACTAATACAGATACAGATACTCATACTGACACCCGTCGCAGGCTTACGGTTCAGGTCTAACCCCAACCGCTAGGAAAGAGGGAAGGATCCTGTTCATGGGCCTTCCTGGCACAAACCAAACTGTGGAGTTCCCAGCCACAAAAAAAAGGGATCCTTTCCCAAAGGGCCCACGTGCCAGTGTAATAGCTTCAGGGTTTAGGGCTTAGGGTTTAGGGCTTCTTAGTAGACATTTGGGCCCCCCAAGGTATATACGATACAATTACTTGGACCCTTTGGGTGTTGCATAAGAAAGCCGAGAAGCAACGGAAATACATGGAAGCAGCCAAAGAGAAGCTGCAGGAAAGGGCCGGGGGATGTTAGCCTTGAGCCTCCACGACGGAAGATCTCGAGCCCTTAAGGGCCCTCTAAACCCAAAGCCCTAAACCCTAAACCCTAAAGTCTGAACCCTAAACCCTAAACCCTACACCCTAAAGCCTACACCCTAAAAGTCTAAACACCGAAACAATAAACGCTAAACCGTAAACTCAAAGTCCTGCACCCTAAACGGACCTAATATAAGGGCCGTAATGTGAAATGTGAAATGTGCATTAAGGCCCTTTTAAACCCTAAGCCGGACCTAATAGAAGGGCCTTAATGTGACATGTGACATGTGTATAAAGCCCCTTTAAAACCCTAAGCCTTGAACCAGTAGCCTTCCGCTGCACCATTGATTCTCCAACCGGGCACTGTTCCAAGTAGAGGTCTCTCGTAAAGTGTGTGTAGGGGTTAGGGGCTAGGGTTTAGTGTTTAGCGGTTAGGGGCTAGGGTTTAGGGCTTAGGGTTTGGGGCTTAGGGTTTAGGGTTGAGGGTTTGGGGGTGTGCAATTGCTCAACTGCTACTGAACCCAGAATTTCAGTGCAAGGCTTAGCAGTATGTACAAAAGTATACAACCCCTGCGAAACACAAGAGGTATATGCAATACCGACCGAAAATACAAGGCTTTCGGGTATAACGGTGCAACTCCTACAAAGAATTCAAAGCCCGGTATTGCCTTTAAAGGAAGCCCTAATGTGGAACCAGCCCCTCCCTAAACCCTAAACACTAAACCTAATGTGGAACCAGCTCCTCGACCAACACCACAGCCTTCACCTCCAAACCCCGTTCTGCACATTGCGATGTTTGAGTTCGGCTCGTGCTGTCCATAAAGCCACGTGGCTTACTGGTGGATTTCTAGGGGTCCAGGTCTTAGGCTTTAGGGTTTAGGGGTTTAGGGGATTAGGGGTTTAGGGGTTTAGGGTTTAGGAGTTTAGGGGTTAGGATTTAGGGTTTAGGGCTTTAAGGTACCCTAAACCCTAAACCCGAAACCCTAAACCCCTAAACCCTAAACCCCTAAACCCTAAACCCAAAGGGTTCAGAGGGTTTCGGAGGTTGAAGCGAAAAAGGAGTTAAAAGGCAGTTTATGCTCTTTGGGTGCCGGGTCGGGGACGAGACCTAGTGCATGACTGGCACAACGGACTGGTGTAGGGGTCTTAATAATTAGAATAGGGTTTTGGGGCCCATTATACTATAAGTATGATAAGGAACCCCCGAAATAGTATAGGTAATTACTTAGGCCCCTATATTATGGCAGAGCGAAGGCCCTAACCTTAACTTAAGTTGCTTTCGCAGATGCGTGGGTCTCAAGCGCGCACTGGCCAAATCTGCGACACAAATAGTGTGTGTATGTGTATGTGTATATATATATATATATGTATGTCTGTGTGTGTTTGTGTATGTATGTATGTATGTATGTATGTATGTATGTATGTATGTATGTGTCTGTATGTGTGTATGTGTGTATATATATATATATATATGTATCTGCGTGTTTGTTTTTTGTGGGTTTTTGGTGCGGCCTCTGAGAAAAAGTATCACACCCACTTGAACTTTAGCTATAGGTACCGACAATGCGCTCGGATTCATTGGGAGACCAAAGTCGACAAGACTGCTGGCCTTGGGTTTCGAAGTTTAGGCAGAGCCGTTGTCATGTTGTGATTAAAGTCGTATACTTCTCATCTTGCCGAAGGACCAAACATAGCAATTATCCTAGGTTGTTCCAGCGTCGAGGTTGCGACACCGCCAGCGGTCCTCGCTTTCCCTTCCGGGTATGCGTCCGCAGACGGCAAAACTCATTACCTGAGTTAAATTTCGTCAGCAAAGCCCCGATGCACGCAGAAAAACCTGTGCAAGCGTGCAAGGGCCTTGCTTGTTTACAACTGTTTGTGCAAAATCCGGTTCTGGACAACAACAACTGTTCCGAAAACCATCAGGAGACCACCCATCACAACAAGGACTCGGCCGACAAGCTTCACCTTCGCGTCGCGTTCGGACAGCGTTTCCGAACTAGGAATAGGGTAGTAGTAGTAGTAGTAGTAGTAGTAGTAGTAGTAGTAGGAGCTGTAGGACCATAGGAGCAGTAGTAGCACTAGCAGCAGCCGCAGAAGCAGGAGCAGGAGCAGGAGCCGGAGCCGGGGCAGGGGCAGGTGCATAGCAGTAGCATGCAGCTGCAGCAGTAACAGTAGCTATGTAGAGCTTGCGCAGAAGAAACAATGAGAGAAACGACTTTGAACTGCGCAAGAGATGCACGCTAGAATCAAAAGCATAATCCTAAGGTGATAAACGCGCATCTTGCATTCCACGAGATGTCATATCTGCTCACAAGAGCGCAAAGGCACCTCCACGTCCCACACCACGCGGGTCTGCTGGATCACAAGGCGCGCTGCCCAGATCAGCAAAAGGCCTGGAACATGCTTGCCCCGAGAACAGCACGAACAGCACAGACAGCGTTTCAAACCGTAACCTCTAATTGGAAGGTGCCCGAATCCTCGGAACAGCTTCCTGCCAAACGATACACTCGAGAATCTTGTACTCTCAAGCATTGAAATCTCAGGGCCGCTACTGTACACCCTTCAAGTTCAAAACTCCTAACCCCAAACCCAGAAGACCTGACCCTGAGCCTGCACCTCACGTACCCGGAAACCCCAGTTGTCGCCTGGAAAGACCATGGTGCTGGCTGATCCCAGCAGGGCCCCTCCCAGGGCGTTGAGCACACCCAGGTCCTTAGAGGGTTTAGGGTTCAGGGTTTAGGGCTTAAGGGTTTAAGAGTTTAGGGTTTAGGTTGTAGGGTTTAGAGTTTAGAGTTTAGAGTCTGCAGCGGCCATTCCTTTAGAAGTTTTTTGAGGCGTAAGTGGTTCCTTTAAGAGTTCCTTGAAGGGTCCCTTTAAGGGTTCTACGATCGGGGGGTTGGGGCTTAGCGGTTTAGAGTTTCGGGTATGGGGTGAAGTGCTCTCTGGTGGGTTTATCTGACAGGGTTCTGTAGGCTGCTGCTGTGTTTGCTTTGTTGGGCGGGTACAAACTTTGCAACATAGCGGTACAATCCTACCACTCAAGACCTCTGTCAGGGTTTCGGAGCCTCTCACACTTTTGCAACACTCTAAAGGGTCCTTTATGGCTCCACAAAGGTCCTGACAAAGGTACTATAAGGGCTCAGGGCTTTTGGGTTGTTGAGACTAACATTCGCAGGTTTAGGGTGTTTAGGAGCTACAGTGGTTCTAGGTCACGGGGTTGGGGTTTCAGAGTGGTCATAACACAAAATGAGCAAGAGTGCTCAATCCAGGCAGCCAAAGCAAATAACATCCTGGAGTTTGTTGCAATATCCATCCCATAAGAAGACGACTATTCATCCTAAATTAGCTCCCATAGTAACCTTGGCATGACCTCTTCCCTTAGCCGGAATAGTACAATGCCAAACAAGGTTAAACCCCCAAACTTTCCACAGTCAGCTCGCAACTGACACTCAACCGGTCAGGGCGGTTCTTGAACCCTAGCATTCAGCTTGAAGACAACACCGTAAACCCTAAACCCTAAACCATAAAGATATTTCTCAGACCCACACCCCATCCCCTGAAGCCCTAAAGCCCTAAACCCCTAGAGCCCTAAAACCCTCAACCCGTGACATGAAAGTAGGACTTCCTTGGCTGCTAGGGCATGTCAAGAAAGTGATTGCAAAGCCGGGTTTTAAAGAGGGAGCTGCAGGAACGGGTTCAGGGTCTAAGGTTGTTGTTCTTTGCGGTATGGGGGTTCGGGGGTTTAGTTGTTCAGGGTTTAGAGTTTCAGTGCCAGAGTTGTAAGGCTCTAGGCTTTTGACCACCCTCTGTTTGGCACAAGTAGCATGATTCCAGCTGCACTCGCTTCCTAAACCCTAAGCCCTAAAAGTCTCAACCCCTAAACCTTAAACCCTCAAACCCTAAACCCTGCAACCCTCAAGCCCTAAACCCAAAGCCCTACAACCCCAAATAGCCCCAAAGCCCCCAAAAAAGTCCTAAAAGCCCTGAAGCCCTAAACCGTGTTTCACGCTCGGGTTCGTCCAGGGACCACCCCAAAGCTCCGATCAGTATCAAAAGGGCGAAGCTCCTCGGTTTAGGGCTTAAGGTTTAGGGTTTAGGGTTTAGGGTTTAGGGTTTAGGGTTTGTAGACTTTAGGGTTTATGGGGTTTAGGGCTTAAGGTTTCGAGGGGTTCAGGGTTTAGGGTTTAGGGTTTACACTTTAGGGTTTCGGGGGATCTGGGGCTTAGGGTTTAGGTTGTTTTTTATAAAAGTGCAGTTTACGGCTTAAGGTGTAGGGCTTAGGGCTTAGGGTTTAGGGTTTGGGAAAATGCTCAAACCTTCGACACTTTTTCGATCATAGACCAAATATAGTTCTATCATAGACCAAATGTACAAGGCCTAAAAAGTTCCTTTGTCTCTCATCCACCAAATAGATAGATAGATTGAGAGAGAGAGAGAGAGAGAGCGAGAGAGAGAGAGAGAGAGATATATATATATATATATGGTGCAGCGCTGCCAGGCACCTCCCCTCCACCCCCACCCCATGATATCCCCCCTGCCCTGTGGCTCCCTGTGGTGTGGGTTCCCCACCTGTCCATCCCTCGAACGCTGACCGTCGATCCTCCGGTCCGATGCTCAAGAGAGTCCTGAGAAAGTCATCAAGCACATTCTCGGGCTGACCTTTGCCGCACCCAACCGAAACTGGGCATAGGATGACAACGGTCGATACAAATGAGAAAATCTACGAAAGAGCATCAAGCCAAACAAGCTTCTGAAACAAATAAAAGAAAAGAACATGCGGTACGGTACCTAAGGGCAGAACAGCCTAAGAGTCGTGATGCTATAAACAGTCACACCCGGAATACCAGCATGAAAGAAGCACATCAGCGTCGTTGTCCTCAGCATCATCGTCATCATTCTCATCTGTGTGAGGAGGGGGCGGGTCCTCGATTTTGCGCGAGAGATCCACAACAACTTCGACAGTTGCGAGGATGATGATGCAGACGAGCACCGTCCCTGTGACTGTTTGCTCGCGAGAGACGCCTGGCTTGGCCGCTGTGGAAGGCAGGAGGGGGGGCATGCCATTGGGGGGGGGGGGCATGGGGCCGGGGGGAGGGGCCACTGACGCGGCGACGCGGGACCATCCACTTTTATGTATATATATATATGTATATATACATATACATACATACATACATACATACATACATACATACATACATACATACATACATACATACATACATACATAAATATATATATATATATATATGTACATGGCGTACATACGCATTTTTGGCCCTAAAACCTCAAAGTTTTCCCATTGGCTATCTGAGGCGCAATGGGAGCCAGACGCGGCGCCGTGAGGAGCAGGCGCAAAGCGAGAGCCTTGCTCCGAAAAATCTCAAGCTCGGGGGCTTTCTTAGGGCTTCGGGTTTAAGGTTTAGGGTTCAGGGTTCAGGGTTTAGGGTTCAGGGTTGAGGGTTTAGGGTGGGTTTAGGGTTTAGGGTTTAGGGTTAGGGTTTAGGGTTTCCTTCGAAAGGGGCCCCCTTTAAGGGTACTATAGGGTTCTATAGCAAGGCTCCCTTACTATAGGCTTCCTATCGGGTTCTGTGGTAGGATTCCCTTCAAGGGCACTAGAGGGTTCTATAGTAGGATTCGCTTTCAGGGTATTATAGGGGTAATAGCATTCCCTTTAAGGGTCATAAGGGTAGAATGGGGCTCTATAGCAGGATTACCTTTAAAGGGAACTATACGGTCTTATAGTAGGATTCCCTTCAAGGGCAGTATAGGGGTAAGAGGGTTCCCTTTAGGGGTCTTAGAGGGTTCTATTTCTATAATAGGGTTCCCTGTAAAGGTATTATAGGGTTCTGTACTAAGGTTCCCTTTAGGGGTACAACAGGATTCTAAAATAAGGTTCCCTTGAAGGGTATGAGTGGGTTCTTCGATGGCGTTCCCTTGAAGGGCATAACAAGGCTCTACCATGGGATTCCCTTTAATATAGGGTTCTATAATAAGGCTCCCTTTAAGGCCTGTATGGGGTCCATAATGGTTTTCCCTTTAAGGGTTGATAGGGTTTTTGATGGGGCTCTCTGTTAACGTGTTCTCTAGAGGCTCGTTGGGCTTAGGATGGGGTTCCGTGAGATCTAAGATGCTAATGTGGGTACTATGGGTTTAACGATTGGGGTTTGGGGTCTTATAGGCTCAGGGTTTATGGCGAAAGGGTTTAGAATATGTAGAGTTTGCGGATTTAGGATCTTAGGGTACGGGGCTGTAGAGTTTCGGGGAACTTAAACCTGTGGCACTACCCTGCACGCCACAAACCCGTTTACCCTGCCAGACGCCCCTAAGACCCTAAACGCCTAACACCTAAGCACCAAACTTTGGTGCTAGGGGTCACCAAACGATGTAGAACCTCTACGGAACCCCAAAAGAACTCTCACGGATCCCTAATGCAGGGGTGTCAACAATTGGCATCTGGTTTTGTGGTCTGGTATAGCATGGAGCCCTGGAGAAAAGCATTGCCAGTTCTTCAACTCAAAACCCTTAAAACAAACCCTTAGGCCTCAAGCCTAAACCTTAACCCTTGAACCCGAAGCCCTCCTCAACCCTCGACCCTTACACCCTACACCCCTCCTTAATCCGGCCCAGACGCACAGAGTCGCGGAGGCCGGTGAAAGCCAAGGGAAAGCCGCAGGTGACCTCAATTCAGTTTATAGGGTTTAGGGTTTAGGGAGGTGTAGATTTTTGGCTTTATATAGCTTATAGGGTGTATAGGTTTTATTGGGTTGGGCAAGGGCTTACATGGCTTCATGGGGTGCTAAGACGCTTTATAAGGGGTTGTTGTCCTGGGGTCTTATGAAGTCTTTCTGGGTTTTCAGGATACGAATGTAGATTACCACTCCCGCCATGTACCCCCACTGCGGAGCGTGAAACTCTAAAACCTAAATACTGGAACCCAATCCTTTAAACCCTAAAGCAATGTTACTAGTGCAGGTCAAGTCACGGCAATGAGCATCCCAAATCTGGAGGCAGTTGCCTGCGTTGCACGTTTAAGGATCAGGTCTTAGGGTGTCTTGGGTTGGGGCTTAGCCTCGAGGGGTAGGATCTATATACGGTGCCTTGGTGTTTAGGCTTGCTTTAAGGCCCCCAAATGCAAGCGGTTCAGGGCTTCGGGCATAAAGGACCCTACACGTGGCAGGAATAGGTTAGGGTTTAGGGTTCAGGGGATACCTCTGTAAGACCTTATGGGGGAACTTTGTTTAGACAGAATGCGCCGACTTGCCGCCTAGCTGCTGCTGGATCCAGGTCGGAGTAATTGTGTAGAATGTTGCCCGAGCAATGCTGCCCGAAGGTCAAGTATCCTACGGTCATGCAGACAAGAAAGAGTACCTTAGCTGTCCAGTATCCTAGGGGATTATACAGCCCCTACATAAAACCCTAAACCCTAAACCCTAAAAAAAAAATAAGGGTTGAACTACCCCAAAAAAGGCTAAGGGTTACCTACTCTAAACCCTAAATAAACTCCTAAACTCTATAAACCCTAAACCTACTCTACTCGCAAGGTACAAGGGCCAGCGTAAAGCTGGCGGTCGTCGCGAGCAGGAACCGCCTGGAGTCCCGATCCCGCAGTTGATGATAGAACCTGGACTGCTGCTTCAGCGGTTTAGGGTTCGGGGTTTCGGGTTTAGGGTTTAGGGTTTAGGGTTTAGGATTTAGGGTTTAGGGTTTGGGGTTTAGGGTTTAGGGTTTGGGGTTTCGGGTTTCGGGTTTAAGGTTTAGGGTTTAGGGTTTAGGGTTTAGGGTTGAGGGTTTAAAGTTTAGGGGTTTAGGGTTTAGGCTGCGCGATACCATTTTAAAAGAAGAAGCATACTCCTCATTATTGTGCACTGTACTTAAAATATCCTAAAATTTTGACTGCGCTCCAAGTAAGTACCCAGGCACTTGGGGGCATTGTAGTGGGCCAAGAAAGCCGAGGACATGCTACAGACAAGAGTCAAAGTAGCTGGACTGAAGCTCCACATCTCTGGATCCCCGGTTTCATCCCAAGCGACTTGCAAGCCAGGTGTTTGGCTTTCGTAGAAACGTCCACCCGGCGAATAGGATCCGTCCACAAAGCGCCAGATCATGAAACAGACCACCCCAACCTCGCAAAGTAGACCCAGGAGGCTGGCCCAAGCAAGTTTCGAGAGGTCCCGGAGCAAGCAGAGAGGTAGTAAGACGAAGATGAGGATGGTAACCCAGCTGCCACGCCTTGAGCTGAGCCAGGAGTTTGAAACAAAAGGAGCTAAGACATCCTCTGCATTCCGCCCGATTACCAGTGCATATGCGACGCAGCAAGAAAGGGTCTGCGCCAAATTGGTCACTGCCATGAAGTTGCCAAAGAACACCCCTTCGGTGACTTTGTCCCCCATGCCGCGGTGCGTTTTCTCGCCGGTCGTCTCACAAAGACGGCCCAGGGTCCAGAAAGTGTATGTCATCACAACATAGAAGACCAAGGCAATGATAACTCCCGAATAGATGCCGGTACCCGCAGCTAAGCCAGCCGGCAAGCTCAGAAGCCCTTCGCCAATGATGCTCTTTGCGATGTTGAAGGCTGTCTGCCATAGGGGAATGCCCGCAAACTTCTCATCATCGCTAGTCTCCACGTCAGAGTCAAAGATTGAGTCATCCTCACTAACCTCGGACACTGTCTCGGAGAGCTCAGAGAAGTCAAGAAAGCGAAGGTTTTCCATGGATTCCAAAGCTCCCAACCTGTCCTCCTTGGAGGGTAGGGTTCTAACAGAGATAGGTACCTGACTGCACTCCGCGCATCCACTCCTCAGCCGAAAGACTTCGAAAATCACAGCGGCCTAACTGCAGCTGTAGCTACCTTTCTGAATCCCTGGGCACTAGGCGAGGTAGATAGGCTTCACCGGACATGATGTTCCTACAATTTCTACTACCAACGCTATCAGCAACTGCTGCTAGCACTCAAACTTGTACGAGTTCCTTTCTTGCTAGTCTAGCTGCTATCATGCTCACTGCAACGTTACAGGGATAATAGAAATACATGGCACTAAGAATGCTAGCTGGCAACAACGCCTACGAACTTTCCGCTCTTTCATTAACCTGGTGCGCGTGTCCGCAGTTCGACGGCAGACGGGTGCTGCGTCACGGTTCCACGGCCAGCAAGCAGCCTCGACGCCAGGACCAGTTCAGGGGGCGCACGTGATTCTTGATTTTCGTGGGCCAGGGCTACGGAATGTAAAAGGCAGATTGAAGCAGTTAAGTGCCTCTCAAGACTGGGAAGCTTGTTTGGTGATTCCATGTCGGGGGCAAAAGATCGCAATGTTCAGGCCTGAATTAGCTGCAGAAGATGTAACAATCTGTATCAATGAGTTGCAGGGGGTGTGTTCTGTAAACCATGGTGGTCAATGGTCCATATTCTAGTAAAGCACGCGCCATGCCGTGCACGTTTGGATGTATGTATGTATGTATGTATGTATGTATGTATGTATGTATGTATGTATGTAACGTATATATGTACATGTGCGTTTGTCTGCATTCGAGTACAAACCGGCTGAGTACCCAACTTAGCTAGAGACGACCACCAAAATAAGCCGACCAAACACCGGGAGGAAGAAGTCCAATGCTGTCTAGAATATATATATATATATAATATTATATATTATCTATTATATTATATATATATTATATTATATATTGTAGAATATATATATATATATATATATATTATTATATTATATTATATATTATATATGATATATTTTATATTATATATATTATATATATTATATATATTATATATTCTATATATTATATATATATTATATATATATATTATATATATTATATATATTATATATTATATTAAATTATATTATATTATATTATATTATATTTTATTTTATTATATTTTATTTTATTATATTATATATATATATA